TTTGACGATTTTTGCTTACAATCCTAATTGGAACTTCACTAGTCAACTAAAGTTTTCCGCTTAAATAAACTGTGAAAATCAATTCATATATGACATAGATCGTTGGGCTTTAGTTGCAATGACGGAACTCGATCCTTTAACACCACTAAATTTTATTATTCTCATAGGAAAAATGAAAACAATAATAAAGCAATATTGTTCAAAATTCCAATTACTGAATTGTTAAAATGAAAAGAATTAGTTGTTTCAAATGGCATTCCAAATATTTCAAGCATCCATTTCAAAATGAAAAAATATAACTTGAAAAATTACATACGTAAATAAAACCAGTAACTTTGGATCCCTCATCTGCTAAATGCAGATCCATTCAAACAATATGAAGAAGATGAACATAGACTATGGACAAAAAGGTCTACCTAAACGAGTCCTATGACTTGGGATAGTGAAATGCCTTATTCTCCCTTCTTGTTCTTGCAAGTACCCTTCACAAAGGAAAGACTTTGAGAAGTTATCTTCCACAACTCTATCAACGTCGTGCACAAATACGTCAGTTTCACCCATTTCTTTATTCCTCGCCATCAATCCGGCAGTGTATATGGCACTCATCCGTCCGGGAGCCCCATCAAAGTACCCGGTCGGGGCATCCACCATGATCAAATCCCAGTCGATGTCATACATTTCACTAGGCAATCCCTTTAGAGCAAGTTTGCATTTAGAAAATCTTGGATCTTCCACAACTTTACATTCTTCTCTCATGCCAATCTCCATTAACTCATCAGCTTGAGTCACTTTAGTATCATATGAAACATGATATGATTCTAAGGTTGGTAATTGCTTCTTGATTTGCTCGATCCACGACTTGTCTTCTTCAAGGAAAACTGTTCGCCCTCCGTGGTTGAGTGCTGTCCACATGAGGCTGTCGTGGCCTAGGCCGAAGACTAAGAAGTTACATGGTGACTTTTTCTCCAGTACTCGTAAAGAGACAGATATTTCCTTAAAAGTTTGTTGTGGGGTTATGTTTAAGGTTACATAGTGAACCAGAGCATGTGCTAAAGAAGGCGAGATTTTCGTGCAGGTTGGTGCCAATGAAAGAGTGGAACAATCTTTTGAGTCGTGAGAATTCGCAGAGATCACAGGGGGGATTACTGATTTCAGTGAAGCGTTATGCTGTGGAGACGAGAAACTCGATCTAAGTATCAAGAACAGAAGGAAAAGAAAGAAAAAACAAACCAGAATGATCTTAAAATTGATGGGGTATTGTGATTTTGCTCTCATATTTCCTTTTTTCTTGAGATTTTCAGCTGGTTTTTTGTCTTGCAAATCTTGGGGTATATCAAGAATTGAAGAAGGTAAAGATTATGAGACTTGGTAATTTTCCCCTTAGGATTGAAGCAAGATACGTTAAGGTTGATTGAGACTAGAGAACTAATGATGTTTTCTGTTCTTGCAAGACATATATTTTCTTTCAGTTTGGTAATACAAGTTTTTAATAATATGAAGTGGTTGGGATATTAGGTATACTGAGATTGTTTATTCTAGAAATAAAGAAACTTGTATGCTATCAATGTGATGTATATGCATGAGTTGGAAGTTTTTAAATAATTAGAATATGAGACGGTGTCAAATTGACTTTTTTATAATCGTTTTGCGGATGAAAAGAGAATCAGAAGACGGGTTCTTCATTAAAGGGAAGAAAAGTGGAGCAATTGTGGAAGAAAGTTAGGTACCTGCTGGTGGACTACAACTCATTGCCTGCATATTTCAATAAAATTATGGTAGAAAATAAATAGATTGCAGATTTAAATGAATAAAGATATTTTCCTTCTGTGATGTAAATTAAGAATTCTAAAAAAAAAAAAAAAACCTCCTATAGCATCTGTTGGATCCAATAAAATTGTGGGTCAACTACACATTGCTAAGGAATATTTCAAGGATCATGCTACATGTAACGAATTTTTTTTATCGAATCTTTTACCCACTACTCACAGTGGGGATGGGGATCACATTGTCGAAATTTTTCAATACATGCGAGTCCCGCTCATTATGTGAGAGGGGGTAATCCATTATGTACAAATGGATTAACCCTTCAAGTATTGCCAATGCACTTCAGCTACTGCCAACAAAATGGCAAAAGGAAAAAAATGATACATATAATTAAGGAGTCCAATTTTTCCTTAGCATGGTCAAGAAAGGAAAGGCAAATGGCTGTCAAACAGTGCTAAATGTCATCTCAATTTCCATCCCATACTTTTTTATGAGAAGCGTCTTGAAAATCTGTTCTTCAGTCCAATCCATAGTGTTGTGGGGATGCACGATTGATTCCTTTTGTAATCCTTCTTCAGGAACAGATTACTAAAAATTGATAAATGTAATGAGAGAAATTGATTCCTTGTTTTATTTTTTGTATTTTTCAAAAACAGTTAGCGGAGGTCTCCAACCTTTCACCTGTCTTGCACTTTGGTCCTCAATCTTTAAAAATTAATATTCACATCCTCGACCTTTTTATTTTTTATAGCATTTAGGTTTCTCGATGGAGGATCATCCACTGTATTTAACTACAAGTTGAAATTTTATTAAAATATAAAATTTACTCTCATTTTTAATTATAAATATTTAAAAAAAAATAGAAGATAAAAGGGAAAAAATGATCTTGAAATACAACTAAACGAGATTGAGAAAGAAAATGGAAGAGAGGGGGGAGAGAAGAAGAGGGAAAGATTATGGAAGGAGAAAATATCAGTTTAAATACAACTTCATTTTTCAATGAGAGCAATATTTTATCATGATCAAAAATGTCAATGGTGAAACCTTAACAACAACATACGGCTTAACACATACCAAGTGTGATGATCTTTCTCATTAACTAATTACCGATAGAAAATACTAAGTGTGTGTTTGGTAGAGATTTTTTGGGGGAAGAATTGATTTTGAATAGTGATATGATGGGAAATGTGTGGTTGAAAAAGAAGATAAGATTATTGATGTGATAGAAAATATTATTTTATTGAAGAATGTGTGGTTGGAAATGATATAGCCCCTGTTTGAGCCACATTATTTTCACAAGAATGCATTTTTTGTTTGATGTGATGGGGAATATGTGGTTGAAAAAGAAGGAAAAATTATTGATGTGATGGAAAATATTATTTTATTGAAGAATGTGTGGTTGGAAATGAGAATTGATTTACTGTTGAAAATGAGAATTGGTACCAAACATAGTCTAAAATTTAGCATATGGTTCAATTGATTCACAAAAAGTCAATTGGCTTCACATAAGGAGGAACACAAGGGATTAGCACAGCACACGAGCATATAGAAACAAATTATTGCAACAATGGTACCTTGAATGTGTTGATAAGAAAACAATTCTACTATATTAAAAACCCAAATTTCATTTAAATGTGATGACCATTCAAACTGATTATTTTCATGTGAATTATCTAAAAATTGTCTTGATGTGTTTAGAAAACCATGCTAAAGAAACACGTATAATGCGATGGCCTCGAATTTCATGATTTTTGGTGTTGCTATCACAACCCTATATAGGGTGCGACACGCCGCTCTAATTTTGGTCGAAGTTCGTTTTGGTCCTTGATTTTGCTCCTTTGTTTATGTTGAGTCATTTCTTCGTGCAATTTTCATCGTTTGTCCTCTAATTTCATCCAATTGACTTAGTATGATCTTCAATCTTTATTTCTTGATGCGAATCAACTTTTGAATATTTACAATTTATTTCATGAACTTATGAATTCTTCATTTTTCGTCGATTTTCATTCATTTCTTCTAAATTCACTTTCAATCGTCAAGTTTTACCTAGCAAACAATATGTACAAGAGATTAAATTACAATACATCATAAGTGCTCCCAATTCTTATTTAATAGCCTAAATAAGTGTATAAAATATATCTATCATGAGTCTCAAAAGTTCCTCTCTAATGCATCATGTCTAGAACTATGTCTAGAAGCGAGGCAAGGAAAAAAAGTATAAATTGTCAAAAAGACCGTATAGATTAGATGTTTTTGTTGACCCCTGAAAATGAGCCAACAGATATCGGGTCTACTCACGCCGAGTCAAGTACGATTTCGGAGCGTTCCCACCGGAATGATGACGGTAGCAAAGAGGAGATGGATGAGAGAGGTACTTTGCGGCGAGAGACAAAAATGTTCGAGTTTCGATGGATGGAACAAAAGCACCACGACGCTATGTCTAGGGAAAGAGGAGATAGACAATTTTTCTGGGGGTCGAAGGGATGGTTGCCCGAATTTCCAGCACCACGCTATGTCCGGGGAAAGCTAACGCAATCGTCCCCAAGCTATTGAACACATAAAAAATTATACCTACCGTTGTATGAGCACGAACCCCATGAGAAACGTGTTCATGGTATTGACTACCCCTCACTCTTAAATCACTGATGCAATTGTTGCAGTCACAGAATAACTGCAACAATTGATAAATAATTATACTATCTAGTCATTTCCAATTCACACAAGGCAAAATTAATTATAACCCTTAACAGACATGACAGCGGCTGTAAAGGAAATACAACGACCTAGTATCCAAGTTTCTTGCCGAAGGCATGTTGACCTAACTCTGAATAACGACCAAATCGTTTCCCTGGAACCGCTTCGTGCAGATCAATCAGTTGCCAAAAGGAGTACAATGTCACCAACCAAGAAATTGTTATACCAATGATTCCTGGAATCCTGCATGTACATCCAAAAACTATCATTTTCAATAAATTTGAGAGATTAATCTGAACAAATACTTGTATTTTTTGCCTCTTCAGAATTTTTCGTTTCCAATGTAAAAATTTGGGCTCTGCCACTGAGTAAGCATATATATCACATATATGAATTCTTACCAGCCAAGTTGTGAAACGGCAAATGGTAGCCCGAGTACACCAGCACCAACGGTGGCCGTGATATTGTGAAAAGCGGAGTACCACCATTTTGCTTTGCGTGAAGCTGTTACGGGAAGCCAGTTCTCCAAATCTTTATTGTGCACAGGAAGCTGGTCAATCATATCTTGATTTCTCATTTCTTACTAAGCAATATTGTACCAAAAAAATTGTTTCGCTCAGTGTTAATTTGTTAAATCTTATCATCAAAGATTTAGTTTAGTGGTTAATTAGGAAAGAAAAATCGGGCAGTACACTAACATAAATTTATGGCTAACGTTTAGATCCTAATTTAGTGATTATGAATTGGATCAGATTCCATGAAACTAAATAACTGTTTCTGTCTGCTTGAGAAAATTAAGGAAACGTGGATCAGGTCATTGGCATAGATTTCTTTAAATTCTGCTAATTTATGTCCCAAGAAAAGTGGCATAATGTCCACTGTACACTCCCACATTTTTTAATCATTTTGTTAAAAAAACTCAGAATAATACCTCTGTGCATATGGGGAAAAAGAATCCCGGTGATTCCATTTCCAAATTTTCTCCTCCACTGGTAAAGTTTCTTTGTTTTTTACTATTATTATTGAATTTTTTTTTCATTTTCTTTTTATTAGTATTTGATAGAACTTGGCTTGTACAATGTGTAAGTATTTAGTTTCTTTTTCTTAATTTCTTCATAGACGGAACTTGCTGTCAATATGCTACTGCATGGTAAGAAGTATATGTGTTGGTGCAATAACTCTGCAAAAGCTTGGAAATACGAACATGGCTCCAAGACACGTTATTTTTCTTAATACGTTATTTGCCCTACCAATTCAGTGATGCACCAGGCAATTCAAATACGCGTCCTAAATACAATGAAACTGTTGGAAATGGGTCAAGTTTGACCAATAATCAGGGTGGGACCCGGTATCCATTTTGTGTGGGTCAATGGGCAAACTCATTCTATTCCGCGCGTAGATATTCGTGATATATTTGATTTCACAAAACCATTTCCGGATGAATGAGAAATTAATACTAGAAGTTGGCAACTTGAAAGTAAAAATCCTGAAATTTAAAATCAAGTGTGTGAACTTTATCCCACATAGGAAGTTGAAAGAATTTTGAATCAATTTATATACCTCNATTTTTTCCGTTCATTGAGAGAGTACGAAACATTTTCTGGTTCGCTGTTCTTGCTGTTAGAGTGCTTCTACACCGCAAGTGAAAGATTGTTGTATCTTGGGAGGCGATTGGCGTCAACTGTAAGCACCGTAGCACGCCAAAATCGTCTTAAGGAAATAGAGTCGAACTCTAGCCTCAATCTACTGTTTTCTGCAGTTTGTTTAGCGTTTATTTGGTTTGCCATTTCCTTCTCTTCGTTTTATTTTTGTTATATAAGTCGCATGCTATATAATATTTCTAACAGAAACCTCTTCCGTTGTGTGCAGTTTGGACAAACGAAGATAAGGGAGCACCAAAGAAGAAGGAAGCCTAACACTTGAGGTTTATCCTTCAGGACCATAGAGGTAAACTCGATTTTGCATTTTTGAATCTTATGGTTATCGCACTAATCTTGAAGCAGAATTAAGAGCAATATTAACAGGCCTAGAGATTTGTAAAGTTTGGTATAAGAGGCATATATGGGTGGAAGTAAACTCTATAATGGCTATACATTTTTGTGCACTCTAAGTAAGGTGAACTGATGTTGGATTCCATTGCTGGCTCCCATCCTTCTGATCGACATTATATGATCATTACATGTAACTTTAAGAGCAGAAGGAAATACATAACTTCCCTGGTTTCGAAGAGGTCATACCTGATGTGAGTTTTAGTTCTAGAAACGGATAGGGTGAAGGTTGTGGACCGGTGAAAACGGACAACAAAATCATGAATCGTCAATGGACGAGAGGTTACAGCCCCCCGTTTGGAGCACATTATAATGTCATTTTTCTTTTCAAATCTCATTACTCTACGGTGAAAGAATCGATAAAAAATACGAAAGTTAGTTGTTTTGTCACACTTCAATTTCCCATCATTGTACCGTTGAAAATACATTGGACAAAATTANATAAACATGAACAAATTTAGGAAAAAAAAAAAATCAATGAATGTAAAAATGTAAAGTTTGCTACTCTTCTAGGAGTTCTATGCAAATCAAATATTCATTATTATGCAAAAGTTGTCACAGAAGTTTTTCTTTCAATTTTAGGGAATGGAATATTTATTATTGGATTAATCTACTTGTACATTACCGTGTACATAAGCGTATACTTAATGTGAGTGTGGTGGTGCCCACGACACTGTAGCGTAGGCCCCACCTCCACTCACATTATGTACACCATTATGTACATGCTAATGTATAAGTAGCATTCCTCTTCTAAAAATGAGAAGAAAAAATGGACAAATAAGGGGGGCCAAAAGGAGGCAAACTGTACAGGATTAAACATTGTGTAGTAATACAGCAGAGATTTTCCTCTTCTTCCTTTTTGTACAAGTTTCTATTTTGCAAAGTTTTAACTAGATGTTCACTCTTCTTGGGAAGAAAATTTATGCCCCATTTGGTATGGATTAAAATCAAATTTTAATTTAAGTCAAAGTCAAACAATCAATATCAATCACATCTTTTATGGGTCTCACATCTTTTCAACCACACATTTCAAAAATTTGAATAAGGCTCCTCTGCCAGGCCTGTAAAAGGCCTGTTCTAGAAGCGAGGCAAGGAAAAAAAAAGTATAAATTGTCAAAAAGACCGTATAGATTAGATGATCTTGTTGACCCCTGAAAATGAGTCAATAGATATCGGGCTCACTCACGCCGAGTCAAGTACGATTTCGGAGCGTTCCCACCGGAATGATGACGGTAGCAAAGAGGAGATGGATGAGAGAGGTACTTTGTGGCGAGAGACAAAAATGTTCGAGTTTCGATGTATGGAACAAAAGCACCACGACGCTATGTCCAGGGAAAGAGGAGATAGACAATTTTTCTGGGGGTCGAAGGGATGGTTGCCCGAATTTCCAGCACCAAGCTATGTCCGGGGAAAGCTAATGCAATCGTCCCCAAGCTATTGAACACATAAAAAATTATACCTACCGTTGTATGAGCACGAACCCCATGAGAAACGTGTTCATGGTATTGACTACCCCTCACTATTAAATCACTGATGCAATTGTTGCATGTTCACGAAAATATGTTTCGAATAAAACCACCGCAAGTGTTTGATTCGTTGACAAGTAATAAAGTGAAAATCTTAAAATTTCGAGTATCATTCCCAAGAGGGTTGATTTA